CACATAGGAAACGCTTGATCTTAACACATAGGAAACAATTGATCTTACCACATAGGACACATAAATTCTAAAGTATTTATTTTCACACTATTAAGAAATATTTGTAAATTTTCTCATTTAAACTTCATGTCCTGATAACAATGTCATGTTGATGGATTTTGTATTTATAAAGGATGACTACGTGTTTGCTAGAATTCCGCATCAGTTAATTTTATATTTGCTCTTATTATTTCTTGAAATTAGTTAGACTCCTAAGAAGTAAAAAATACTTAAATTAAATTTCTGTCATAAACGCCTACAAATGAAACTCTCCTCAAGACAGTGAAGCATTCAAATTCTTTATTAAACTTGACGACCATCAACACTATCAACATCATCATCATTATCTTGAACAGCGCAATATATCTCAAGGAATGCGCATAATTCTCAAACAGTAAAGGGTTAAATATATATGGGACAAGTATTTGTTACTGAATTTATATAGTCCATTTTTCGCATATGAAAAGGAATCTAAGAACGATCACATTGAGCACATAGATTGTACCATTATGGGCTTCGTTTCTGGGTTACCCATTATCATACTTTCTTGCAATTTCATCCGTGTATCGGCAAGTCTTTTATATTTAATGGCAGAGTGTGAAGACATTGAAGACATAACGTCACCTTATTATCAGACATTTTTCATTTCAAAACCCCCACAAAGCCAATAAAGATGTAATGCGTGTCGGGAAATCATCAGACAAGAATATAGTGTTGAGAAAGCGATAACGGATGTGTTTATTTTCTCAGTAGAAGAATAAACAAATAGAGTATCGTCCCTAGCATCCCTTTCTCTTGGAAGAAAAACATTTCTAATACCTTAGCGATTCATATATTCTACAAACTGTGAAATTTAGAGCACACTTCTTACTAAAATTACATTTCTTTAAGAAGATGGCACTGTCTGTACCGTTATCAAAAGTTGGACTTCTATCCATAAAGAATTGCTACTTTTTATTACAAAGCTATTACCGTTTGCAGTGTTTCAAAATTTCGTTTCTGTTATGGTAAATAAAACTATAACTACCACCACCACTACTACTATTTTTTTTACAACAATTATTAACACTTCTTCGTATTTTTTAAAATGTATTCGTTTTTGTTTAAAAGTTATATTTGTTCATTCATTTATTCATTCATTCATTCATTCTTCTTCTTCTTCTTCTTCTTCTTCTTCTTCTTCTTCTTCTTCTTCTTCTTATTATTATTATTATTATTATTATTATTATTATTATTATTATTATTATTATTATTATTATTATTATTAAAAGGTGAATACGAAGAAGCAATTATAGTGGTTACAACGGTTTATACAAATCTAAAAATGAAATAGCTTATTGTGAATGACTGGAATTTGCATGTGTTATGACTGTTTGATTTAAAGCCCTTCCCGTACAATGATTTTGTTTTACCTTCGCCTCTATACTTTTGATGATCTAGAATTAGGATTTATTTGTCAAAATTTAAACTGTTTCATCGTGAAGAAAGTGTAGGAATAAATCTTGCATCAACGTAAATTCATAAAACGCTTTCAAAACATAAAAGTTAGAACACGATTTTGATTGCGAATAGGAAATCTGATGCAAAATGTTATACAACTTGGGGAAAAGACAAAAGTTAACGAGTGGTGCAAAACGCTTTGAATAAAATACAAATGTTCATCGCTAGACTCGAATTTCTGAGGTTCGTACATTACATTTCTTTTTTTTAATTAAGAAAAGTTGCAACGAAATGAACAATGACAAAAATATAATACTTTTGTTGCGTATAAAAAGATGACGATCTGATTATGCTGCTAGCTACTGCAGCTAATGATGACGACAACGACAACATCGATGATGACGACGGAAATGATGGCAAAGAGGCGTCCTTATGATAGTGGTGGTTGTGATGCTGCTGCTGATGATGATGACGATGATAATGACGATGACGACACTGATGATAGAAAAAAGATGTGAAACACTTAACAGCTGCCATGCCTAGTTACTAGAACCACTGTAGAAAAGAAAATGTCGATTACATTTGGAAAAATGCGATTTTCCTGATACAACTATAGTTTCTGTCATTTTAAGTACTTATTGCCCAGAATCATGAAAATATAACTGACTAAAACTTAACCATCTCATTGTAGTTAATAGTATCCTGCAAGTGCTCTAGAGCATCGAGATTAGGAAGGCAAGTGTATTTTTGCTCGCTGATAATTGGGACGGACAAATTGACAGATGTGTGAAGGATAATGGATTCATTTAAAACCTCTACTGACATCTAGGGGCAAAACGATGATCCCGGATGCAGATAATAAATACACGGTACCTACTAAGAAAAATTGTCACTGACAGTATTTATTTTAAATGCAGAATGTGCGAGTTAAGACTTGTTACTCTATTTAGTGCCCATAGTAACACAAGTTGTTATCTCCCTTTGTCCACCATTTTGATGGATCTCTCTCTCTCTCTCTCTCTCTCTCTCTCTCTCTCTCTCTCTCTCTCTCTCTCTCTCTCTCTCTCTCTCTCTCTCTCTCTCTTAAAGCGAATGTTAGTACAAGATAATAAAGAGAGCTTCGACCTTAAGTAGTTAAAACAATAAAACATTTCTTTATTGCGAACAGGCTTAGTTGTGTTGTCATTGAGAATAAGTTTCATTTCAAACTGCGACCACATTCTCACGAAGAAGGAAATGATTTCTCTGCAGAACTGCAAACAGGATAAAAATATGATACCAAAGGTACCATTCTGTAAACGCTTTTTAAGGAAATTGTTGAATGACAGATGCATAATTTACGTAGTTACGCTTTCACGGCACTAGAAAATCTAGGGGAAGGTAATCTGCACACACCTCTCCAGAAAAAAAAAACTTTAATTCTGCCACCCACTAGCAATGGTATTGCATGTGTGGGGTGGGGGTTGAGGGAGGGGTATATATGTAGCATGGAATCTATCGTATATTCGAGCGTGGTTTAAAAATGAAAGAAGTAAGTAAATTCACCTCTGTTCACAGAAGAATGTGGACATAAACAAGTCTCCAAACTTATAGAAGTTAGTCCAACAACTGCATATTTATGCGGTAAATATGGGAATCAATTCCAAGTCAAAATTAATAATTTTTTGCGCATTCTCTAATCTGCTGCTCCAAATCAAACACTGCAAATATCCTATCACAAATACATTACAGTATGTATGGAAATTTCTGCATCCAGTAAACCTTTCACAGGAATATCGCAATATCAATGTAATGATTAATTGTGAAAATGACATTTAGAAGGTTAAGTAAACATTGGATCATCAACTGTAAGGGTAGTGCATCTAACAATTCAACATCAGACATATTGGACATTCTGTATTGAGAAATGACGTTGTATGTGCAAAATGTTTTGTTTATTCGGAAGGACGCTTGTTCTTTGATTTATAGTTTATAAGAAAAGTATAGCTACTTTTCACCGTCAATAGTAATTCAACTTTGGTAGGAACTACTTTTTACGCACAACAAATGAAAGGTGCAACGTCTGTCAGAATGAACAAAATTATTCGTTCTTCTTTCCATCTAAATACTTTCCAATGAACTAAACAATGTGATAAAAAAAAACTCAAATGGGTAATGATGTAATATTAAATTTATTAAACTCGTTTCATAAATTTAGTGTTAAATCATTATCCATTTGAGATCCTCTATGTATACTGTGTGGTATAAATGTTTAAACAATGCGGGGTATGAAAGCTTAAACACTACGAGGTATGAATGCTTAAACTGCAATATACTATGGGGAATAAATTTCTAAATACTGCGAGGTATAAATGACTAAACACTATGGGCATGAATGCCTAAACATTATGGTAAGAATGCTTAAACGCTATGGAATATTAAATGCGTAAACACTGTGGGGTATACATGCCTGAAAACTTTGGGGTATGATCGCATAAATGATGCTGGAAATAAATGCCTAAACACTGCAGGGTTTGAATATCTAAACAATATTTGGTATAAATGCCTCAACACTGGAGCATGGATGCCTAAACAGTGTGGGATATGAATGCCTAAACAGTGTGGGATATGAATGCCTAAACAGTGTGGGGTATGAATGCCTAAACAGTGTGGGGTATGAATGCCTAAACAGTGTGGGGTATGAATGCCTAAACAGTGTGGGGTATGAATGCCTAAACAGTGTGGGGTATGAATGCCTAAACAGTGTGGGGTATGAATGCCTAAACAGTATTGAGTATGAATGCCTAAAAATGTGGGGTATGAATGCCTACACGCTGATGGGATAAATGCCTATGCATTGTAGATGTTAAGACTTTATTGGCAAAAGATGAAATTCTCAATTTAACGAAATGAAAAGAAAGTAAACTACATAACACGTTAAAGAGGGCTCCTCAATGCGATCTCTCAGAACGAATTAGATTGTCTCTCAATGAAGGCATATAATTTTTCATAGAGAATATTTATTTTTCATTTAAGAATCATAAAAGCATAGTCTTTTCTCAAGAAATATTTATTTATTTTAAATATTTATGTTGAAGGCATTTCTAACAATGACCAAGTGTCATTTACTTTAAGCCAAATGTACAAAACTAATTTGAAAAATCACGGGGTCATAATTGTTCATTTCACTGTCTGGCTAGCATCATCACAATAGTAACATGTATAACTCGAGTAAAAATACATTCTTATAATTCTCTTTACATCTATGTATTAAATCAAAATAAATATATAAGCTTGTATGTTATCGTTCGGCAATAAATTACTTGCTTGTAAATACCAACTTTGCTGGAATAAAAATGAACCAACCAATCAACAAATATCTTCCAAGAAGTGACATCGTCCACCGTGAAAGAAAGTTCGCGAGGTACATGAAAACTTTATTAACTACATATCAAAGGGACTTCCAAGAAACCAATTTGCTTTAAACTCATCGAGAGAATGTCAGAAAACCAACTTGTCAAGAAATTTGTGAGGTATGAGTGGACCGCTCCGGTGGCCTAGTGGCTAGAGCGTCCGCCTCGAATGCGGGATGTCGCGAGTTCAAACCTTGGCCGAGTTATACCAACGACTTATAAAAGTGGTATTAGCAGCTGCCTCACATGGGTAGCAGGATACAGTTTCATAAATTGGTCCCTGGCAAATTTCCTAACTTAAGGCTATGGTGTGACTTATTCAGCTATTATTGTTTACTAATTAAAGATATGGATATATTTCTGAACTATGTGATTCGGGATTGTGTTGTTTGTGTTCTTGAAATTGATAGTGTTGATAATAAAATAACAATAGTGTTGGCTAGGAAGAAGAGCTAGCCTCCCATAGCTGTAAACACATTGGTTTGGGACGAATAGAATATCTCAAAAAACGTCTTGGATGACAACTATTTTTAACTGCATCAGCCTGTTTAGTACTCACTGTTTTTCAGAATTGTCATCTAGGAAAAGGGCTTATGTTTGCACTGTGAGCACCACATGGTGTCAAAAATGACCTTCGAACATGAAAATTGCAGGTTTAAATTTGCTATTAACTGCCACTGACTTCTCTGGTCAAGTGGATAATATCTTTATGCTTTGTTTTAATATAGGTAAGGTAACTACAAATATGGACCTACTTGACTTCACTTGTGTATATTTTTTTTGGTTGATTGTCTTGTACTAGAACACTGATTGCAACATTAAATTTGTAAATAAAAACTGTGCTCTGCCCCTTGACGCTCAGCATTAAGAGGTTAGTGTTAGGACTGGTCGACCTGGTGTCAGGATAATATGACTGGGTGGGACATGATGCTCCATATCTGCGTCATGATGTCTCAGTTCTAGACATTAGTATAAAATGTTACACTGCAGAGATTGTAGCTATATGACTAAATAATTGTTAAAGCTAAGTTAAAAATCCTAAACACATAAACACAGGAGGTATGACTGACTTTCGTTGGCTTGTTGTTTGTTATCGACATTATTTTTATGTTGTAACCAAAGACGCAAGCCGTGCAAATGATGTATGAAATGGACAATAAACACCAGTAACTTTGTACTCACTGTATCCGTGCTCAATATTTCCTTACAACATTCCTGTTAAAGACCAAAGGGTTTACCAGAGAAAATGTGTGTAAAGAAAATATGTCGTTGTAGCAACAATGTTCTGTATGAGTATCCTCTAATTAGAATGATATTTGAATAGGTTGTGGCATGGAACATAGATGAGGATTTCTTATTGAATAGGTTGGGGCATGAGACAAAAATGAAGATTTCTAATTGAATAGGTTTGGGCATGGGACAAAAATGAGGATTTCTAATTGAATAGGTTGGGGCATGGGACAAAAATGAGGATTTCTAATTGAATAGGTTGGGGCATGGGACAAAAATGAGGATTTCTAATTGAATAGGTTGGGGCATGGGACAAAAATGAGGATTTCTAATTGAATAGGTTGGGGCATGGGACAAAAATGAGGATTTCTAATTGAATAGGTTGGGGCATGGGACAAAAATGAGGATTTCTAATTGAATAGGTTTGGGCATGGGACATAAATGAGGATTTCTAATTGAATAGGTTTGGGCATGGGACATAGTTGAGGATTTCTTATTGAATAAGTTGGGGCATGGGACATAAATGTGATTTCTGATTGAATAGGTTTGGGCATGGGACATAAATGAGGATTTCTAATTGAATAGGTTGGGGCATGGAACATAGTTGAGGATTTCTTATTGAATAAGTTGGGGCATGGGACATAAATGTGATTTCTGATTGAATAGGTTGGGGCATGGGACATAAATGAGGATTTCGTATTGAACAGGTTGGGGCATGGGGTATAAATGAGGATTTCTTATTGAATAGGTTTGGGCATGGGACATAAATGAGGATTTCTTATTGGATAGTTTGGGGCATGGGGCATAAATAAGGATTTCTTAGTAATAATTACACTTCTATTCACTGGAAGGAGACATTAGTGTTGTTTTTCTTTTTCTTCTTGTCAGATTTTTACCGACGAATAGTTCCCAGACAAAACCGAAATGTCCATATTATAGTTTAAAGGAATTATCAGAGATTTGCTGGTCAAATTGACTCATAACTGAGAAAGTGAAGCTGAAGAACTTTAGTGTGCATTTTAAACAAAATTATCTCCAAGATGATATGAAAATAAGATCGTCAACACTAAGATGACACATTAACTTAGTAATCCCGCATATTATATTTAGCAAATAGTGATCAATGAAGGATTCACGGTACTAACTCAACTCCCATTGCAATCAGATGTAAACAGCATGATAAAAATTCAATAACATGATCAAACCTATATTTCTCAGTGTTGACCCATCACTTGATGCAAGCTACCTTCTGTGTGGATAAAATGACACGTCTCTTTTGTATTTCATGGATTTACATGTGCATGAAAGAGGTGCTATCCATTCCGTACCTAATTAATCAGGCGCTACTTTCATTACTGAGTGTTCCTACATCATGTGTGTACAAATACTAAAATTGCATGAATAAGTTCCTGTCGCTTGTCTCGTCAAAAAATAAGCTTCCTATTGATTTCTTTGCTAAAATGGTACGTACTTGTTATTAGCAAATAAAGAACAAAACCAAAAGTGTTTTTTAATTTTGTTTTACCTATTTCCAGGCTGGTTGACGGGTGTTTTGTATAAGTAGTACCGTGGGGCTTGAAAAGTATTGAATGTTTATTACAGTACTATGAGACTTGAATAGCAATGAATGTTTGTTACAGTACCGTGGGGCTTGAAAAGTATTGAATGTTGATTACAGTACTATGAGGCTTGAAAAGTAATGAATGTTTGTTACAGTACCGTGGGGCTTGAAAAGTATTGAATGTTTATTACAGTACTATGAGGCTTGAAAAGCAATGATTGTTTGTTACAGTACCGTGGGGCTTGAAAAGTATTAAACGTTTATTACAGTGCCATGGGGCTTGAAAAGTACTGAATGTTTGTTGTAAACAATAGGGCTTGAAAGTGCTGAATATTTTTTTACAGTGCCATGGGGCTTGAAACGTACTGGATGTTTGTTGTAAAACAATATGGCTTGAAAGTGCTGAATGTTTTTAACAGTGCCATGGGGCTTGAAAAGTACTGAATGTTTGTTGCAGTACCGTGGAGCTTGAAAAGTACTAATTGTTTATTTCAGTGCCATGGGGTTTGAAATGTACTGAATGTTTGTTGCAGTACCTTGGAGCTTGAAAAGTACTGAATGTATGTTGTAGTACCATGGGGCTTGAAAAGTACTGAATATTTGTTATAGTACCATGGGGCTTGAAAGTGCTGAATGTTTGTCAAACTGTGGATAGTATAGCGAAATATGTTACAATTTATGATCGACGTGAATCCTCTCTTCTTTGTTGCATTTTTTGTTCCGAATACATTTACAGCCTTTATTTGTTATCCTTTTTTTTCTTGCTCTATGGATTCGGATTTTAATTGGTTACATATTATTTTGCTTGGTATAATTTTGTTTCTCATTTTGATATATTTTCGGTGACATTTGTAGCAAATTATTGTCTTGCCCATTTTGTTAACTCAAAAATCTTCATGTGACATTTGCTCCTAATCCTTTCCGGGATGAAATGTTCTACAAAACCGTAATATCTGAAGAAATTTACAAGATCAGGTATAAAACTTGATATCTGCAACACTCTCTAATGCCGTATTTGAATTAAAATATAAATCGCCTCGGGCGTTAATCGTTTTTCTTTAATGAATCATGTTGCAAACATATCATTGCACAATTGACACAGCAATACATTTTGCTAACCAGCCTGCGTCTTGGGAAGCATTTGCTTTCAATTAGTCTAAGACAACGTGATCATGATTTATAGTGTTCGAATTGTCTCGATGACGGTATGCACAATACGGAGAAGCAAGACTAACGTTTGGAACCCGGAGATAGGGCCTTGAATGGATTTAAAGCAGCAAAAGAGATAATTAGTCCTTTAATCGGATTTTCTAGCGTTCCGCGGGGAGTACTTGTTATATTAGTCAGGTTAAATTGAAACGATTAGATTCAGAATCAATCTAAATCCAGTTTGCCGGAAAAGTCTGACGAAAACATCACTCATTCAGTTAAACTTTGTATTTCTTTTTGTTGCTAGTTAAGCCGAACAAATGAAAACAAGGATGTAATGAGCATTCCGCTTAATTCCAACATCTATATATCACTTAAGCCCTGTAGTCAAAAATAGAGAACGGTGGCTGGTGATATTAAAATAGAGTATTCTTGTTGAATTCTCCATGCCAGATCATTCAGCAGTTAAGTTAGTTGACAATAATGTAACCTGGTACATGTACAATTTCTACCTAGATTTAAATTACTGAAAATGTAAAATATATGTCAAATTCAAGACAAATTAATCAAAGATTAAAGGTTTCCAACATTGTCCAAACAATAGCAAATCACTTATAAAATAAAACTTCCGCTATTATTAATAAAAAATATTGTCAAGATTTCTAAAAACAACCGTGAACCCTGAACAGAAAGGGAGAAAAATGTTCAGAGATTTCTGCAGATGTGCAATATCCCAATTTGTCGTTATTGCTGAAACTGTAAAACATTCTTTTTAAAGCAAAAACAAAATCACTTTCAAAATTATCTAATTAAATTTTCGCAAATTTGATATCTTTCTGATAGTACAACTTGTGTATTTTGTGCAAACGCTTTCCTTTATTATAGCTAATGTTGCTACATCAAATTAGACAACAATTATTTTTTTAAAAAAACATACATTATTGTTTCAGTATTAAGACTTTTTTGTCTTTTTCACACATTAATTAGGGCAAAGATACACACAAACCCCTTTCAGTGATCGGATTGCTAATGCTAGCATAATAACAATTATAGTCCACTTGATTTAGGCCTTTTTTTAAAAAAATGTTACGGTAATGGTGTGAAATCCACTACCATGGATACGGTCCATTATTAATAATTTGTCAACAGTTTGGGAATAAAACTATGTAAATTTGCACTTTTTACACCAGAAAAAGAAAATCTTCGCAAAAATGCGTGGTGAATGGAGGAAGCCAAGAAAAGCTTAACGGGAATCTAAGAAGCTTC